GTATAACCTGCATTTCATTGGCTGATTTGACTTGTTTACTGTTCTTGCGAACTTCCTGCAAACATTCAACTTGTTAAATGTTTCCTGCCAACTTGCTGAAAACAACAGATTGGCATGTATGTTTCTTGCAATGTTCCTGCAAAGATGTTGAGTTCCTGCGAATTAGCTGCAAGCTTAGAGCAATTGCTGCAATGTTTGCCGCAAGATCGCAGCTAGCGGCAATCATCTGTGAACAAGAAAATTTTCTTCCTGCGAACAACTTTGTTTGGTGCAAACTTGCAGCAGAGTTGCTGCAGGTCTGCAGCAAACATAACAGTTTGGTAAGGGCGCAATGCGCATAGTTTCTGAAATGAGAATTGACCTTTCATAAAATGGTTGAAATGAAGTTTGTAAGCAATCTTTTTCTGCCCTTTTCATGTCATATATAATAGGTTTACAAATTACAATTTTACATTGAAATTGTTTACAAGAATTTTAAAAACATTTATCATAATTCAAGAATATCGACATACCTACTATATTTTATGCAGGCAAACATTTATTTGATTTCAAAAGTGACATCTGACCTATTCGGAGTGTGGCATTACCTAAATCGCACACCATCTTCGGAGAATGTCAAAGATTTCTTGGGATTGCCATGATCACACTGCTCAACGCGTTATCGGCTATTCGGTTGTTATCGGGCATTCGGTGCAAGAAAAGCAATGTTTAGAAAACGTAGGTTATTTTTAAATTTTTAATTCAACGATAATAGCGTACTTCAGCAAGCAAAGTTTGTGATCTTAGGCAGATAAATTATGATACTTTCAGCAGCAGAAAGCAGAAACCAAATCACTCTCTTTCAAAGGATCTACAGCTCTTTCAAATGATATTTTATAAAAATTTCGGAATATGTCATGATTGTCATCACATTTTAGCTTTTGCAGAATTCAAAATCAGTGTACTCTATTAAACAAAATGTTTTTTTATTCTATGGACAATCATTCACCTTTAGATAAGCAGACTGAGATCAAAAATCAAAATTAAGGGTTAATTAACAGGCATTTAAAATGTCTCGTTAGGTGAAAACATGTTATCGTCAACAAGGTTGATGTAGCCGGATAATTCGGTTTTTAACGGGTGTACGTTATCGGAAACTCAGGTTTAGAAATTTCCTTAAACTTCAGAAAAAGATTGGGAAAAAGTCCATTATAATCTATCAATCCTTGAAAATAGCAAACGTAATGTGTTTTAAGTAATTTTTGAAAATTTTCTAGTTAGCCAATCTAGTTTGTTTTGAAATAAATGTATATAAATAAGATTGATAATTATGAATTTATAATAGAACTACCTATCTGTTCAATCATTTTCTGTTTTCCATTCAAGATAGCCTCTATAAGCTTCAAGCGGTTTCAGTATACGTGTATATAACAAATCTACAGTCGCTTTAGTTAGTCGTGTCTTCCGATATATTATAGGACATTATTTTTGAAAAACATCATCACTTGTAGTGTCCCCATGAGTCTAGAGGGCTAAACGTTTTATTTTGTTTTTTCTGTCCAAAATAGAACAATAGCATTGTTTTTGTCAAACAATTTTAAAAAGGTTTGAAATAGAGGAAATAGAATAAGTGCATACTGCAATTATAGTCTTTCGATGAGGTCAATCCCTAGATATATAACCCTTAGAGAAAGCATATGCTTTTTCTTGGGTCCATATATCTAGGGATTATACCGAATCAAAAGGCTACGTACAATTGTTTTATAACTTTTTTTTTATTAAGTTAATAAGAAATATTATAAAGTACATGTTTCTAACTCAACTCAAAGCTTTCTCATATAAGACATTGTAATGTCTTTTGCATTATGACGTTACAGTTACAAATAGCAGCTGCAGTATCTGTTTTTAGAAACATACTCAGTTTATAAAGACTATTGTGACGTCTGCATTATTGTAGCTTCACAGAAGAACGTTTCCAATTTTACACCCAGTTTTTTATCTAGACTTTTTATACTTGATCAAAAGAGCTAATAATTCTTTAATGTCTATACAATGTAAATTGGATATGTAATAGATTAAACTATACTTTAACAAAAACCATGGTTAAGAAAAAATATTTGAAAAAATAAATAAAATTAAATTTAAAAAAAAAACCTTAACCCATTTCCCAAACGTAAAAAATACCTATTTGGGAGGAGGGGATGCTGGTTGATTCACTTCAATTCTTCATATGTTTAACTTTTTTTCTGCAAACAGTAATCCGCGCTTTCAATGGGGGGGTTCCAAGGATTTTTTTTTTTTGCTTCAGTATAAACATTCAATAACACTGCAAATTCCAGGTAAGGTCCGAACCTTCCCAACACCCCCCCCCCCCTCGGATCCGAGCATGAGCTCCACCTACAGATTTTCCATTAGGCCGATAATGACAAAGAGCACACTGCGAGTGTGACTGGTCGACAGATGGTGCTTATTCCTTCTTGGCACGTTAAACAACCTCCGATATCGATGTTTTTAGAGATCTGTGTTTACTCTGCTTTAAATTTATATTGTTTCAATAGACCTTTGAGCTTGATTATTGTTCGACATCTTCATATTTCCTTAAAGATAATTTCCTTCCATCAGTAACGCTTTTTTGTAAACTAATAAAGTCAATCTCTTTTTTCTCAAAAGTTTGAATTCTAGGTCATATACATGTATTTGGTCGAACGCCCTTTTGGGAAATTCATTTTAATTACCGTGAGTTTATATTCTTTAATTGCTTTATACCACACCTATACATGATAGATGTACTCAGCACTAACAAAAGGAACAACGATGGTCAAGAGGAGATCAAAAGTGCAAAGTCAACGAATAAAGACGAAGCATTAAAAACAGAGAAAAAAAAAACGATAAACAGTGCGTAAATAAAGGCAACGCACTGAAAACTAAGATTAAATTACTGTTAAGGTCAAGATCTAGTAAATGAAAGGTGCCTTAAAATTTCTCAAATTTGGGAAACAAGTTCTTTTAATGATCCTTTACAATTTTAGTTTGGTGAAATTAGGTGTATCGGGACTTAATTTTTAGGTACACTCTACGAAAAAAGATAATTTAAACTGTCATTTTCAGTGAAAAATGAAGGAAGTCAGGTATAAAAATGGGAGTTTGTTTCATCTCAGAAAAAAGAAATATATCACTATTGCCTACAGTCTCTCAGAAAACAGTTTTTCATATCTTCTTGTTCTCTTCTTTAAAATGATATAAAATTGAATATAGGTATCGGGGTTACTTTTGTCATGATTTTAAATTCCATGAAAATGATTTATTTTCTACATTATTGTATTAAAGCCGCAAAGTACGGGAAAAATTAAGTTTAAATCAATTATGACGTCATAATGGATTTGGCACCAAAAAGACGGTCTAAACTCATTTACTAGATCTTGACCTTAATTCAGCAATTAAGGAAACTCTAAACACTAACAAAAAGTGCTTTTAGGACTTAGACAAAAAAATATAATTATAATAATGGAAATAATAAATGCAATTATTTATTCTTGGTCTAATATAATGTTTAGAATATTTTAATCTAATACAAATTGTGTAATAAACTGTAAATAGCATTTTTTTTGTCTTACTTCTAAGGGCAGATCACTCTAACTGCATAAAACTGCCCTACAAGTAGAACTCTTTAGTGTGCAGTGTTTAGAGCTTCCTTAATGCGATGATTTTACTATATGTTGCGAATAATGCGATGTAAGAATCGCAATAATTAAATCTGGCATTTGTATTTTGGTTACACCAGAGATTTATAATTCAGAGATTTTAAAACTTATACCATATTTTCGAACAGGTCAAGATCCTGCATATTTCAGTGATTATGAGAAATGCCAAAAAACACCCTTTTTTAAAGTTACATATTCTAAAAGGAGACAAATAATTGCCAAGAATTAGAATTGTGTACCCACCACTTTGAATATAAAGATTTAATGAGGATTTCTGTTGTTTCTTTACATTTTCCTAACCCATGACAACCTTTGTTTCCGATAACAAAAACCGAAAATTCCGATAACAAAGTGAACCATTCAACCGTATTTCCGATAACATCCTGAAAGTTAAAAAAGGGCAATTTTTACCCTTTAATTACATCTTTGCAAGATTCTGACGATGTCATATTGCGGACATTCATTAACGTTAGGTAAATATGAGGATTTTGAAGAAAAAAAAACTGTTTGCAGCGATGCAAATCGGACAAAAACTTGCAAAATATAACAAACATGACTTTTAAAGTCTTCTCAAGACTAAGAAATGCTTTAATAAGATGTATCGAGGCTTTATTTTGTATCCGTATTCATTCCTGTTTACAAAAAACACAATGAACATTCTGTATTTCAATTTTTAAAGAGTTTATTTGCAACAATTTACTAACCTGTCAAAAATTGTTATCCACCGAATGCCCGATACATGTAACAACCGAATAGCCGATAACGCGTTGAGCAGCGTGATGATCGCTTGAATTTTTTATATAATTTTTTTCATTCGAATCGCCGCCATTACCATGGAAAAAAGGTCAGTTTGAGGTGACATATGCTATTATTTGCATACTAGTCAGTTTCTAGTTTTAATTCGCCTTTACTTATAAAGCTACAGTTAGCTGTAAGTGGTAGTCGATATAGATTACTCAGTCTTAACCTCATCCTATCCTCATTGTTCAATATAAAGTTTCTGAACATTGACTTAACAAAAACCTTGTAGTGGAGCGTAGTGTTCAATTTATAGAATTATATAGATAAACATGTAAATATCAAAAGTACTGCATGTGAAAATTGTCAAATTAAAGATCGTTGTTTACTTCCATGTTAAATGTTTGTCCCAGGTAATTAAACAGTAGTATAGTCACCCGAACAGACATATATTTCGTGTACTAGGGAGAGATTTCAGATAACAGTATCTTCGTTATCACATATAAGTGTAAGGTAATCACGCTAATTTATATTTCGTGCGGACACTTGGTCATAAATATGCTTTCAATCGACACCCGCAATATAAGTTTTATTCTAAGGATGGTCACTGTCAGTTTTACCTTATTTATGGCTTCATTTGTGCAGAAAAGTTACTCTTTACCTGTTGAAAGTTGTCCAATGTTTGGTTGTCGTCCTTCGGGGACTTTTTCGTATGATCTCGATATAACAGTTAATGTGTCGTTATCCTGGCCAAAACCTTTCAAACAAAGTTCATCAGCGGATTCACTCGGTTGTGTGGGAAACGAGGAACTGATCGTTTGTCAAAGTGATGGGCAATCACATAGGTATGTGCAATGTGTTCATAAAACATGGAGTTATATGCTTAGTACAGTTTTTTTGGGTCCGTTTTTCTGATTTGTTTTTTAATGAAGTGATATTTCAATTAAAAAAAAATTATACCCTGTCAATAGAATTTTAAGTGAGTGAGAAGCAAATCTAGCGATTTGTACTTAAAAATTGGTATATTATCTAAGCGAGAAGTATTTACGATGCCAAGTGAGATAGCTCTTTATTTCAACGCAGAGTAAATTGCGACCGATATAAAATTTGAGCTAAAGCAATCTCGACACTTTCATAAATAAAGCCAAAATATAATCCTCGCTAAACTTTCTGCTCATACGAGTTTGTTTAATCTAAATTTTTTATTCTAATAAGTGGCTTCTATTAACAAATAAAACATGATTCTTTAGAAATAATAGTATTTAACTCTTGAAAAAAAAATCCATTTCTAGGGGATACATTAGCCTGACTGTTCAGAACGGTTCTCTTGCATGGTCTGACAAAGTTCTTTATCGCCCAACACTTCCAATAATGGACATCTACGGCGATATCGTTGGGACGGATGGTAACAAACTGGTAAAATACGAAGTCGACGGCACTCTAGAGAAACCAGTTATCAATGAGGAGAATCTATCTCCAGTTTACAGGTTAAAGCTTTGGTAACATTTATATCTGCAATATTATTATTCTTGTATCATTGATTTTACCATGGTATATGGTATATCACAGTCTACAAATTATGATCTAAATTCGGTAAAAGTATCGTGATGTCAAAGCAATGTCTTAAGTAACGGACTGGTATAGTCTTTCAACACATGTAACAGTTATTTCTATGAAGTTTGCAAATCTCCACTGATGTGCAGATTGATTGTAATTTACGTGTCCTTCGTATATACAAAACACCATTTAGACATTAAGTAAATTTAAGTAGTTCTAAATGCATGCATTTAATATCTATTCCAGTATAACGTTCTCCGACAACAACATATTTGCCATCGTTTCGAAGCTCGGAATGTTAGTAACAGTGGAATCTAGTAGGTGTATTATTTATTTTTATTAACAACAATTCCTTACTGACAAGGCACCTCTCCCCTTAATATTTAAACCCCGGTCCCAAAGATTTTTTTTTATAATTTGTATTGTTTCATAAAATATTCTTCTAGCACACATTAAAGTGTGCTCACTAGGAAAATCTAAAAAAAAAAAAAAAAAAAAAAAAAGATACATTAACGTTTTATTTAAAAAAAAACAACACAAGACAATAACCACAATCTTCGTAATCGAGTTCCAGATATAAAGCATAATTAACAATAGCCTTACAATCAAACATCTATTATTTTTATGTATATTGTGGCGTCTACATATAAGATATTTAAGAAAAATATGAAGATTACGAACAATTATCAAGCTCAAAAGTCCATTGAAACAATACAAATTTAGAGCAGAGCAAACACGGATCTCTAAAAACATCAGAGGTGGGTTCAGATGCCATGGACGTGTAAGCATCCCCTGTCGACCGATCACACCCGCCGTTGCTCCTTGTCATGATCGGTCAAACCAATGAAATAACTTTCATTTAACTGACATGGACGATTGCATGCAATGGAATAGTAGATATTGAAACAAGCTAAGCAAAATAATTGTTCGATCAAAGAAAGAATAAAAACTACGCTCTTAATTGAAATGAATATAGTAGTCAAAGGCAATGTACTTATGTAAATGTTATAGCTATTAGATGTATAAATAGTTTTACATGTAATTTTACATTCAAAGATGGAGTTCCCCATGCCTTCATAGAATTTAGGGGATGGGAAGAGAGGATGAATGGAACCTTTATACCAATAGCACCACCTGTTGTTTCCGGACACCGGATATATATTTTGACAGCTTTTCGTCCCGATGGAAAGGTATAAATTATTTCTGTAAGCTTAAAAAAAACATACATGTATATGCACATATGGCACTTGTAATTATTATTCCAATATATCTGGCATTTTATGTTCACGTATTTATTTTCAGAAAACTGCACTTTCCATGCAGCGATTGTATGCCATTGATATTTTCAATGTTTTGTCGGGAAAACTAAAGATTGCATGGTATTTTAATTTTGAAAGACTTTCCTCGCCAACATCCAAGGTCAACAGAAATGTCTATAAAGCAGCTTCGGTAGAACCCCAAATTTTAGTTAATACGGACACTAACATGTTGTACGTCAATTTACCACCTCTTCCAGAGACAACCAATGCTATCCATGTTGTCTGGGGATTCAAAGATGATCTTGAAAGCAGTACACCAACTTTATTATTCAAGACACCTCAATCTGTTGCTGGACTTGCCATGTATGAATCAAGCAGGTCTATTCATGTCAACAACAGTACGCCACATCAGTATGGTCCATGGATGCATTTACAGATGTTTCGTCATGGAGGTTCTGCAAAAGAACTTCATGAAATTGATGCCTCGCTTTGGGCCGTATCTACTGACAAGAGATTAATTCTGAAACTCTCTTCTACTACTGGGTCTGTTTTAGCACAAATAAAACTCAAGGATCTATTCAACATGACGATAAGAGTTACCTCCCGGGTAATGGTGGCAAGATCAACGTCTATTAATCCTCGTCGTGATAATCTTATTTTTGGAATAGAAGTGACACCCTCACTTGATGGGGAGGTTTCGAAATCTTTCAAAGATTTGTGTAACTCTCATGCTGTTAATCCTGGTTTGAAATATTACGTCATCAGTTTAAGAGACTCTTTCGTGAACTGGATCATTGGGACGCCCAATGACTGTCCAGCTATTGGACAAATAGCCGGCATAAAAAGATCAGGGAGGAACAAAGCAGATATGCTTGTCATTACAACATATTCATCGGAACAATCTGAAATATTTGCCCTGAATACATAATTTTTATAGGAACATTCTTAATAAAATACACTTCGGTATTTTGTTTTCTCCTAATCGTGTATTTACATGTATGAAGCATTTGATCATGAGGAATACGAAACAATAGTCTCGATTGTACTCAGTGATACATATAAAAAAATGTTGAACAGAAGAAAAAAAAAAAAAACTTCTATAGAATGACATTTTACCACCTTTCGAAATATAAAATGGAACATTTCCTTCCAATATCTATGTTCTAATTTTTATTTAAATATTACAATGTGTCTTACTGCAATAATTTATGTGGAGGAGAAAGGCCTTAAACTGTCCATTCTGTGAGAGAAAGAGCTGATCTCGGGTCGTAGGCTAGAGATAAGTTTTTTTCTCTCTCACAGAATGGACAGTTTGAGGCCTTCCTCCTTCCTAAAACGTGATTCTCTTTTGGGGGGATCAAATAAAACAAAAAAATGTATTTAAAAAAAAAATTAAAATCTCGGGGCAGAATTAATTCGGATTTCCATCACAAGAAGACATTATGAAAATGAGTGATGGGGAACTAAATACAGCTATGCGTTTCTTGGAAAAATTGGAAAGACTGCAAACCACTTAATCTCAATCTGGTATATGAAATCGCTTCTGCAGTACAACATTACCTTCGAATGAAGGAAAATTCACTAGTTTCATTGATGACAAATTTTTTGAAGGCATGCGTAGAGTTCTAGATTCAAGAATAAGGAAAATAAAGTCAACCGAAAAACATTTAACCTCAGTTTTTGTAGTTTTAAACAGCACCTGTCCATGAGTGACATTATTGAAGTTTAAACCTAGAAAAGGGGGAATTCATTTCATATACTGTAAAGCAGGAAATTAACTTGCGGAGTATAATATGCGCTATATTCGCGGAAATAAAAATTCCGCGAATTCAACGTTAAAATACAGTGAATAATTTTTTTTAAAAATTGATAAGGATAAATCGAAATATTACCGATATTTATTATTAGATTCGGTAACTCTACTTGTGTAACAAGATCTGAAAAGTAAGAAAGCCTATTAGGATCAAACTATGGAGAAAAAAAAATTTCCAAAATGCGTTATTATGCCATTTGAAGAGCCATTATTATGCCTTTAACAGGCCCGTGCTTTTGAAGGGGGGGGGGGGGGGCAGCCTCCTAAAAAAAATTACAAGCAAACAAAAAACAAGACCCCCCACACCACCCCATCCCACCCACAAGAACACACACAAAAACTAAACTTCCTGAACTCGAGAGGCATCTCTTTCTACCTTTTACGGTAAAACTTTTTAATGCAATTATTTGCCAGAAATTAACCAGACTGCAACAAAATGTTCAGGGACCAAGCAGCCAATAAATGAATTTTTATATTTAAACTATAGCAAAACTATTTACAAAAAAAGTGCCCCCCCCCATCCCTCGACCTGTTTGAAAAGGCGTTATGTCCAAAAATGGATAGGCATTATTTTATATTAAAAATATATGAAAGATTGAATCAAAGCCATCTTTATTTTTGCAATATTTAAAAGTATTTTCTATATTCCTCTACATCTTGCAGACAACTGTTCGCATGCCAATTACAAGAAGTCAACACTCTACTTGTGAAAATCCAGATGCAGCATGGGGCTTTGCTGGCCATGTATTAAAAATTCAGGTCAAATTTGAAAATGTTTTTCTCTCCTCTTGGAAAAAGCAGGCAAACTATTTGCATCGGTAAAATGAGCAAATAGCCTTCAACCAAATTTGTGAAACCCTTGGTAGAGGTTTCTGGCATCAGATCGAGAAGGACTAAATTGGTTTATCATTGAAAATATATTTCACATTAAAATTTTTTTCCTGTAATCTAATAACAATGTTTAAATTATTTTTTGAGAAATTAGCCCTATATTCAATTGCCGAGGATAAGATTTCAGCAGCCCCTGGGATAGGCTAAGTTGGTCATATATTGAAAATAAAATGCGTAATAACGCCTTTTTGAAAGGCGTAATAACGTCTTTTAGATAGGCGTAATAATGCCTTTTGAAAAGGCGTAATAACTCCATTTTGAAAGGCGTAATTACGCCTTTTAGAAAGGCGTTAATACGCCTTTCCAAAAGGCATTTTTACTTACCAAAAACCGTTATTGCGCCTTTCAAAAAGGCGTAATTACACCTTTCTAAAAGGCGTTATAACGCCTTTTTTCGCGTTATTACGCCTTTTGAAAGGCGTTATAACGCCTTTTAAAAAACTTTCTCCATAGATTGATCCTAATAGGCTTTTGTAGAAAAGGAAGCCTCTCAAACCTTCGTTTTAAAGAACAAGGCACAGTTTCAATACAAATCTTGCCCTGTGTTTTCTTAAAAATGAAAGTGATGTAAAAAATTAAAACTCATGATTTCTGAATCATTGGAATTTCATGCAGAATGATCATACAAATTCATGCCATATTCTTTCATGATTTATCACAATCATATACTCAACTAATATTTAAGCCAGTTTCAAAACTTTTTAAAAACATTAAATTTCTAGGGCACAATAAAGCTAAAACCATACCTTCTTTTTATTTTGTTATTAATAATGAATTTTTGAATTCGTTATAACGAATTCAACAAATTTGTTTTAATTTTACTCTATGTGAAATTTTTAATATAGAAGAATGCAAATTTTAACTGTGTTAATTCATGTTTCATACTTTATATTTGATTATGAATATGAATTATTGTTGCAGGGGTGGTTTATACTAGATGTATAAAATAACTCAACTCCTGGCTAAGGCTTTATTACTGTGTTTATTACTGATGTTTATGGAAGTCAATATAAACAAAAACGGCCCTATAAAATAAAATAATAACAATGAATATCACATGAGATAACAAATATATACAAAATATACATGTATTACTTATTCTGATTGATGTACGATAAATAGATTTAACAGTTAAGAGTTATCTCCCTTACTTTAAATATTTAGCATTTACATAAATCACTGTACAAATATTCTTTTCACATATATTTTACTGCCACATTTCAATAAATGTAACAATATGTAAATATAACTTAAAATATACAAAAGGTAACATATATTCAAATTACCTCTCTATGGGACAAGGCCCATTCCATAAAACATAGTAAATAGCCTGGATGCTTCATACAGGTCTACATATCTAATTATATAATAGAGTTGTACTTTGCATGCACTATGCCTAAATAGTAGTCATGGTTTGACACATGGTGCACGAGCCGGAGGCGAGTGCACTATGTGTCAAACCCTGACTACTATTTAGGCATAGTGCATGCAAAGTACAACACTATTGTTATTATTATGCTGACTGTTTTATAAAACGACAATATTTTCTCCATTTCCAATGTTTCATCACTTCTTATATTCATGTTAGTACACCCCTATTATGACGTCATGTTGTGCTACATGTACGTCATAATCTTTTTTCTTTAATTTTGAATGTTCCATGTACAGATAGTTTCAGAGAATTTTAGTTGTGTGAAGGGTAAAAAATTGCAAGATGCTATTTTATAAAAATTATTTTGTTTATTTTTTTTTCTTTTAGTGTAAAATATTTGAAACTAAGTTTATATATATTATAATACAGTGCTATAGATAACGGCGTCTGTGGCGTAATTGGTAGCGCGTCGGACTGACAATCTCGGGGTCGTGAGTTCGATCCCCGGCGTGGGCGCTGTCGGATTTTCTTCAGAAAAAGAAGCCGTGCTCTATTTCGGCATAGTATGCTTACGCTATATATAGAGGATATTCGATGTTTTGTAGATGAATATGGAATTTATTTCACGAGTGGGACAAGATTTTTTGATATTTTCACGAGTGCGAAGCACGAGTGAAAATATAAAAAAATCCTGTCTCACGAGTGAAATAAATTCCATATTCATCTACAAAACATTGAATTTTCTGTTTATTACATTTTCTTTGATTTTTCCCTTTGCCTCTCTCTTTTCTTAACACAGTGTCATAGGCTTGACGTCATAGTTGAGCGGTTGAGACGTCATAGCTTAGAAGTTGTGTGTCAGATTGAAAATATACATAGCATGGATTTTAGCAACGTATTTAGGAAGAAATTTGCAGTTTTAGCTCTATCAAGATGCTTAGTTACTATCTCTATCTTATGACAGGCCAGAAATTATTTTTTACTTATTTTGATATCCTTTCACACTGTGAGAGAATATCATTTTTGGTATTCTTTCACACTGTGAGAGAATATCACTTTTATTCAATAAATAAATCACAGTATTTCACTGTTGAAAATGTAATAAAAATCCTTAGACCACTATGCGAAAATAGTTGGGTATTGACTATATAGAGACAAACTGACAGGAGGCATAATAATAACAAATATTATTATACCTCTACTCGTTTTACTCTATATGAAATTAATACCATAAAACTGTCTATTTCCCCGAGAAGATACTATTTCTCCCATCTGAGGATTACTCCCTGAAAAATCAGAGCTACTCCCTGGGACTACTCCCTCATGAATATTTATTATTAATTTTAACCAATTAAAATGAACAGTGGGCGGAGCGTTGAAAGAATCTCGAGTCCGTGACGTTATGTTATTAGCAATGTAACTATGACGTCAAAACATTTCGACATGCGATGTCAAAATCATACTGGAATTTCTACGCAAAAAGAGGACAACGATAATCCTTCAAATTCATCTGGCAAAGGATTCTGTTTTGAAGGGAATATTCTGTGAAAGGCTACTTGTGATCAATTATAGTGAGCATATTGGTGTCTTGGAATTTTGTATTCATGAGAACCCATATTCGATGTCTAAAAACACAAGAAACACGTCCGATGTTTGATAATAAAAAGTTGGAGGAAATTCGGTCGGAAAGGGATGGATGGAGACACTTGTCCGGACCAGATAACTTGAAATCAAGTACAAAATTTGATCAAAAACATAAAATCTACGATTTCAGTAAGGCATATTTATTAATTTACGATGTTGACATGGAGACACTGGCGACAACTTACATTGTTAAGACAACGTCACAACGATCTC